ATAAGTAGCAAAATTAGGGGCCGGACGAGAGTTGATGGAAGGGGTATTTGGACGAGCTGTCCAAATGCGTGTGCCATTGCGTAGAGTTGGCCACAGTAAGCTGCATGCGTGCAACATGTGTGCCCCGGTGCGAATGCTGCAACCTCTGAAGCCTATGCAACCCGTGAAAACTCGTCCACCTATAACTGCGTACGTCGGCTGGGCTGTTTTTGGAGCCCTTTATATGCTCTATTAAGACCGTTCCTCAAAACGCAGTCACCGAGCTGTGCTTGGCGTCACAGGTTCATCCTAAGAAAAAACCACAGAAACCATTCTTATCTGAACTGTGCCTCTCAGTATTATTCAACTTGAAATAACGATCTTCAATGTTCCACGGTTAATACAAAGGTAATTCTTGACTTCCAACTATTCGGAAAGCTTTGGAAGATCAATAGGATAGGTCAGGAGGTGCCGACACTGCCCCCGTTCTGCCATGTTTCCACTTTCGGAAAGCGCGCGGCGCCGCGACAACACCTCCTGGCGTGTACCAAGAAAAAGCATTGAATAATCATATGTACTTCTTCAGCCTACCATGCAATGCGAGTTGACAGCTGCTGGGTCGGAACGAAGAAAAGCCCAGTGTATTTGGTGAAACCGGATGGGTGAGCGATTTCGTGATTTTGGCTTCAGATTTCACTAATTTTTGTTAATTTTACTTTTCTGGCTTTTTTGTAAACTTCTTTCTACATTCACATTCGTCTTTTCATGGTGGCGCGGAGTCAAACGGATGTAGGAAGGCACTTTCTTCGCTCAGTCAGGGACTGCTGTATTATCATCTATTGGGCAAGGGGTTCCTCAAGGGATTTCAAGAATAAAGTAAGGAACTTTGTCTGGGGAAGAAGACATCCCGGGTTCATATGCCCTCTACAACAGCAGTATTCAGATTGATGCCCTATTTTCGTAGATATTCTTTTTGTAATTTCTCCTACCCCGAGTTTGAGTTAATGTTAGTAGATATTAAAACATGACACCACTAAAGCCGCTTCCTCCTTCAAAAGAAAAGTTTTCGTGAGTTTCATTATATATACTCTCAGGAACTGAGGTTGAGCAGGAGAAAGACTTTTTCAAAATAGAAGTATTACATAAAAGGCAATCATCCCCTGGAGAGTTTGAGCAGGTGTGTTTCAGCTGCACCGCCGAATCAGCGCTGCTGCACACACCGTCTTACGCCTCATTTTCGAGAGCGATATCAGTCGGTTGGCTCTCGATACGACAAGCTGGCGTCAGTCAGTTGCTTGTCTCCTGTCATATCACCCTCTGTCACTTTTGTGATGAGTACTGTCGGGAAACTACGGTATGCAATTCGCTAGAGATTTTTTCATCTCTAAAGTGACCTCTGCATCTTCAGCCACCACGGCCGTGTCGGGACGCGGCAGGAAAGCACTACGGACGGATGTGGAACGAGAGTGCAGCTGTGGAACGACTCTGTAATCCTCCCTTAATAGAAACGACCATGGCAGACATGGTCGTCATCAACGGAGTGCTTTCAAATCCCATACAAAATCTCGCCATTATATTAGTTTTTGTATATTTAATATTGTAACGGGTTCGCCTATAATCGGAGAGTCAGAATTTTACAGTTATTCGCCCTGAGCGTGCTCAGCTTACCAATTCAGTAGTCTCACATTCAAGGGACTTCCATAATCTATTCAGAACAATGACCACGAACTTCAGATCTATTTCATTGACCAGTTTAATTGTCGATCGATAGTAATCGATAAGTTTCGTAAATTTCTCTGAACAAGTATCACTCGTTACACAAAAAGGATAAGGCCCGTGGCTGTACCTGCTTGGGTAACAGCCGATTACAAACAAATGATGGGATAGCCATCGTAAAGTACCGCTAGAGTTCAGAGTCCAAACACATCCAGGAAATTTCCTCAATTAAAATTGCTCAGATGTTGAGGACTCCTTTGACTGTGTCCAGCATGGAAATGATTCTTTCACCAAGTGATTGTCGCTCTTCAAAGGCACAGCGTATTTCAAGGTAAACTACAAAGGCAGTTGTGAATATAATCGTTCCTTTCTATTCGACTATTAACATTTTAGCAGGAAGGAATCTTTCTTGTCTGCAAAGCTGTTCGCTAATCTCGTGATCACCGAAATGTCATAACTCTGACACCTTAGTTCCAGTGTCCTTATCACGATAACACGTATTTTTGTTAACTATGATATCACTTTTTACGCATAAAAAGAATAAAGGATAGAATAAAATTTTCGGTGTTGACCATTATTTTGGGGCGGCGCGGATACTAACGCGGCTTCTACACTGCGCTCAACGCCCAACGCTCTACTTTAAAGACGCCCAATTCTCAGTACTGTTCAAAATGCATCAAACCATGTTGCAGAGGCGCTAGTTCTCGGTCCTCAAAGAACAAGTACAGCAAGTAAAACTTTATAATCACTGTCCAGAGCGAGATAGCTGCCTTGAAAAACCCATCCGCTAATTACTATTGCTGTAAGTCCAGGCGAAATATTTCTTGCTTAGGTTACGAAATTTTTTGGTGTTGATCAATCCCGCTTTCGGGTAATCTTTCCGGGATTGAACCCCAAACATAAAAAGTGTATTCCGAATACTGGATTCATATTGGATTCAACATTGCATATTGGTTTATGCGATAAAAGACAAAAGCTTGCTCATAATCACCAAATTCACAAAATGACACTTGCTAGAAAGGGTGGAATAGTTACAAGGCGTGGTTATAATAGCCGCGGTAGTCACAAAAATTACTGGAAACTGTAAAATCATAGATATGCTATCCTGTCAATACACTCGAAACCGTTGCATTGAATAAAAAAAGATCAATTAGTCATCAGTTTAACTTTCAGGCCTTCATTTCATATACTGATAAGCGATATGGTTCTCTCCCACGTTTCGACCTGCTTGAAGGACCGCTCAAATGCTACCCTAGCATAGCACACGATAATCAAGGCAGTTTGAAAACTTAACTTGGATATGTGCTGTGCCCTGCAAGGGTTTGAAACATGCCAAGGGAGTACCCTTTAGCAGCATGTTCTATCTTCATACCCTTATGACTTCTGGGGTGTTAGTATAAACTTAAAAACTTTCACAGTTCAAGTAAAGAACCAGTATTACGGTACACAATTGGTGTAACATAGAATTTTCATCTGTCGCTTACAGTTCTATGAGTTCACCATAGTGACAGCCGATACAAACGATGTAGATGACGATGCCGAAGGTTCCGGTTCGAAAACAAACTGCTCACATTCCTTAGTTAACTTCTTGATTTCAGTGACCTAAATAAAGCACGCTAACAAAATTTTCATCATAAGTTCGAGAATTCGACGAGGATCGGCAGAAATGTTCAATGGAATCAAATTTTCACTGTTGGACTTAAGAAAAATGAGACGCCCAAATTACCTTAGCAATGGTTTTATGCTGATAGGTCGTCAATGTCTTGGCGTTCCTATAAATTGACCATTCCAATGATGAAGCTGCTTCTATCGTTTCACAAGGGCGTTCAAACAGCAACCAGTTCGCATCCAGTGCCTGACTTATGAGTCGAACCATTTCTTCCCGTTTCTAAACTGTCCACTCTGAGTAAACACTAGAGGCTAGCTTTTATGATTAGTAAACACTAGAGGCTAGCTTTTATGATTATTTAGATTCCATTTCTTCAAAGGAATCTTTTACCGCTGAGTTCTTGATAATTAGCAATCAATCATTACCTGAGGAGCGAGATTCGGGATTGATTTCGCCTTCGGTTCCTTGATCGGATACTCAGTACTGGGAACATACACTTCTTTGAGTTCAGGTTCTCGTCTTCCTTCGATCTACAACGAACACTCGGATCCAATAGAAGCAGCTGAATCTACGGAATGCGCTCACCTTCCGCCGTTTTGCAAACTCGCTTTGCACAACATCGCGCATCCTAACTGCTTCTTCTCTTTCCAATCTCTCCCAAGCGTCAGAACTGTTGCAACCGTAATCATCGTCATCGCGTCCTCTTCGAAGATATCATTTACCGCTTGTGAATAGTGCGAGGAGGCAAATCAAAGTATCAATTATCATATATACTGCAATGTACCGTTTACCTCCACCATAAAGCTCGCCATTCTCAGGGTTTGCCTTTGACGCTTTCATCATTTTGGTGGAAGAACAGGCAGCCTAGGAATTTTGGTATAAAAGCTGTTAGGGCTAAAAAAGGAAACATTTAGAAATTGGAAACCTGAAATTGAGATGCTCTTGCAATCGTTCCCTTTGGATCCTTGCAGAAGTCACAATGCATACGACATGGTGGCAGGTCGTCTTCACCGAAATACTTTGCGAAGCATACATGCCGACATCTGTATGTTCAACGTGGAGGAGGTTAACTGAAAACTAGAGGGAAAAAGTCGATTTAAGACTGACTGAGCCATTTCTGCATATTCGACCATCTTCTCTAGCCCATGCTGCATCGCTTTTGCTTGTTCCTTTCGAGCAGTCTCCGATATCTTCTTGCCCTTGAAAGGCAATTTCGAATTGCTTGAAAACTTTACAATTGAAAGGTGAAAAGAGAAAATAAACAAATTCAAGAAACCGAGTTAAGAGGATAAAATCCGAACCTTAAGCAGAGCCAAATCCCTTCTCACAAGAAAATAGAGGAACTCCTTATCTGGTTGGCTATAGTAAATCCTACAATAACTTCGCTGACCGTCTCGACCAGCTCTGCCAGATTCTTGATAATATGCGGCCAAATTCTGCGGACAAGTCCAATGGACAACGAACCTACATAAGGTAGTTTATCAATCTTAAGTGAGAGATGGTTATTAAGCCTGTTTTTTTTTTGGACTAGCTGTAGTAAAGATAGGATAAAAGCTCTCCTCACCTCACATCTGGTTTATCTATACCCATACCGAACGCAATAGTGGCTGCTATAACAGGAACTTCGTTCTTCATCCACTTATTCTGAACGTCATCACGCAACTAAATGCTCACTATGAGATCACAGCAATCTGTAACCTTTTTCACACACAACAGTAAGTTAAAGAAACCAAAACCAGCACTGACAGCAACTACTCTGAAAGAACTTGACAGTTCATTCATAGATTCACATCTGGATTACTCACTACGATGAATAAAGAGAGAAATGAACTAAAATGGGTGACAGTACCTTATTGGACAAACCAGCATGATAGGCTAGACATTGAATATGCACCATGCTAAGCATATGTGCTACTTGATCACATTCATCACGTGTACGGCAGTAAATAATGCCACTTCCTTCATATACCCAAAAATGGAATCATCAAAAACAAACTGTTAAACAGCAACTTCTTTTATTACTATGAAAGAGACTTACTCGCTCAACCATCTTACGTGATCCTTTTTCGGTTTTCATTACATCAGATGTTTTGTTTTTCGGAACTTTCAGACAGCGAAGGATAAATTCTGCCAAATGACGCTAAACGAGGATTATTGAATGACTTTTCAACAAAAGGAAGTGGTCGTGACACTTGGCCAAAAAGCGACAATGTCTGTGATGGTGATCGAAACACAAACCTCAGGCGCCAAACTGAGATGGTCTTTCATATATACATCGTAATACAAGTTACCACGGAAGGTGGAAGCCTTGAATGTTTCAACCTAAACGGGAAGAAAGTAATCAGTACCTCGGCTAAGAGCAGCCGTTTCTTTTTCAGATCTCAACACGGTCGAGAAATGAATCTTTGATTGTAAGTTTTTTCACTTCAATGCCTAACGCACGAAGCCTTGTACTTGACAAAACGCAATGCCGATTTTCAAAATGAAGGTGGCTCGTTGACGGAAAGACATGCTTTTTGGTCACAATGCTCGCAATTGGGTATCATAGAAGGTAGGACATATGAAATTCATCCCGAGAGTGGTTGCGAAAAGTACTCTTCAAGTTCGTTTTGCGCTTCTTCATTGAAAGTTGTGTGAAGCAGTTCGTGAAAATAGCTATAACCTATCACAAAAATCGCTTATCAACTTATCGTCACAGGGTTTGCTAGTACTTATTGCTCTGCCGGTCCAAATACAGCGCTGATAGAATCGGTCCAGTCCATAAGTGCTTTGCTAAGTTTGCGTTTATGGAAGTAGGTAACCCGAATTTCAAGAAAAAATTGCCCAAAAACCGGTTAGAGAAGTGATTTAATGACGACGTAGCAGAAACATCAAGGGCCACGCTATGAAGAATAGTACTCCATTCTACAATGCGCTAGGATATTGACATAAATTTCCAAGAAGATAAAATAAACTGAAAAAGGATATCAAAAGAATTAGCGCCCCCATGCAGAGTATGAGTTTCAGGCGAAGACCCGAAACAGTTGCAAGAAAGGTATATCAAGCAAAACAGAAAAATTGGAAACAAATTCATTACATGCTTGAGCTTCAACTGTGAGATGATATCTTCCTGAGCTTTTGCATTCGCTGTAGCTGTAAGTGCAATCCAAGGAACCTGCAACATCATTCATTCAACTTCGCTTCTTTGTTTGTTGTGAAGTTGACAGTAAAAAGCAACCATTGAATGAAGATAATAATAGAAAACCAACAGATGCTCTACGTTTCGGTACAACTCACGTCAGGACACACATCTCTAAGGGCACTCAGCCTCAGGTAGTCAGGACGAAAATCGTGACCCCAATGCGTTACGCAGTGGGCTTCGTCGACGACGAAGTAACTGAGCAGCATTCGTTTATGAAGCGAGCTCAAAATTCTGAAACATTCAGCTCATTGGTATTACTTAGATGGAGGTGAAAGTTATTGTCTGATTCGAGATGTTAGCAAAACTTCGAAAAAAACATGAAAGTCAAAACCATATACCAATTAACAGATTGCACCTTCTCATATTATCCGTTGCAGCGGCTTCGGGTGTTATGTAAAGCAGTTTAATTGTGGGTACCTTATTACGTAGATCCTGGAACAAAGCATTTCTAGAAGCCCGTAAAAACAGGGAAGCTTTCAAAACAGACCTCTATTATTCGAGTTCTTTCGGAGGCTGTTAATTTCGAGTTCAGCGATTCACTTGGAATTCCTTTAGCCTAAACGTTAGTTGAGTGAAACCACTATTTATAAGACCTTCTCGGAAGTAATGGAACATCAAGCTCATTTTCGGGACGAACTCACCCGTAACGCTGCTACTTGATCCGTTATTAATGCTATCAGTGGTGAAACCACAACCGTAATCCCCATATGAACAACTGCAGGAAGCTGGAAGTTCCATCTAAGCCTAATACTCGGTAAACTGGCTACAGAATTATAAAAAGAAAAATACCTGGTAACATAATGACTTTCCAGCACCAGTTGGTAAAGAAACATACACGTCAGTTTTTCCTGAACACAATTGATCGATCAAAGCGATATTCATTGGCTACGCCGTGAATGAATTCTTCGAACTCACTCAATAGGATGCAATTAATTGCTTTCTTCTGAAGAGAACTTTTGAACTTCTGATGACCAAAAACCTCTCTTAAGACCTGATTACGTTGGGCTTCCAACTCTGCCACCTTCATGACCTTGACCCCACTATTAGGGGCCACTGAAAATTGAAGTTAGAAAAATGGCAGGAGCAAAAGCCATAGAGATCTAAAGAGCTGCGAAAAAAGTTCAGGAAACGATATTGGAAGCACCTTTGGTCATCTTTTGTTGTTTCTCTGTGGCAGACTCGTTCTCGTCGGACGTCTTGGTCAGCGCAGATGACCTCTTGTTAGTTTTACCATTTGACGTAGATGGTCTCTTTAAAATGAAGTTAATGGTCTGAGATGCTAGCAATTGGAAATGAAAAGAGATTTTCTAGAAGATAGATCTTATGAGAAGGATGTCCATAGCCACATTTTGGGTTAGTTTATGAAGGACAGAGGCTTTTCGGCAAATAATTCGCCCAAAATGGTACGCGAGCTTAAGCCTGAAGAATGAATTTGGAATAGAGGATACCGAGCACTTCTCATTTTTGTGAGAAATACTACCTCGGTGAATGTACTGTGCTTCCATTACCCACTCAGCGGTTTGCTACGCTGAAGATTCCGTATTCTCATAAGACATAGTCGAACAATCGCTCACCATCAGAAAATCCCAACTATTCTTGGCTGACGGCTCAGCTTCCTTTGTCGAAGTTTTACCGGCAGCATCTTTAGCTTTGATGTCCAAAGAGACGATATTGTTTGCAGAGCTCGCCTTATTCGTCGATTCCTCGTCAGAATCAAGGACGATAACATCCCCTCCATCGGGCATTCTAAATGCATTTTCCGTACAAAATTAAGCTATGAAATAAATTTAAGCTGTCTATAACATGTTGATTAGCCATATCGAAAAACATGGTCAGCGTCAATCAAAGTCCACCTTGGAGAAAAGATATTGGAGGGGCACTACTCTTTCATGACATTCGAGCCAGAAAAGGAGAGATAGCCTCCCTTTCTCCTGCTTAAGAAGGTTGGTTTTCGCTCAAGCTTTAGGAGGGTGATTACTTCATGCAAAAAGTTGGGATGGAGTAAGAATTGAACATTCAATCGGCTCGTTCATTCGGTACTCCTGCTCACCTCAGCCTTAAGTGAAACACTATATTTCCTAGGCTAAGAAACATTCTTGAGCACCTCTGTGGACGAGAAGTCGTTTAACTCTCATTTTCTGTGCTCCAGCGCTCAATTATGGAAAAGAGCAATGCCAGTCCCCCCTTCCCAAATACCCCAAATATAACTCAGCTGCAACCAAATTCTACAAATTCCTTATTTATTCCTTCTTTATTCTTTATTATTCTCTATTTATGTTATATAACAAATGAGATGGAATGTTACACTACTAGAAGAGCTCAGTTGTAGAGGATACTTTAGGGCTTATTTTTGCTTTAATTTGAGAAACTCTAAAGGGCAGTCCAAAATTCTTCAAACAAAACCCGACTACAAAAGCAAAAATTAACTTCTCGCGCATGTTACCAATAGAATAGGCTACTTGCGTAGCCGATCTCAAATTATCCCAACAAACAAAACCGATACAAAAAAGTAGATCCAACCTCGCTGAAGTTGCTCCATTCACATATCCATGACCCATTGAGAATTGCACTGGCGCGAACTTTTTCCGCTCTCTTATTTCTTCACTGGTAAAGCTCTGCTGCTTTTTTGCCAATTTACTATTTGAATAGTTCTGATTCATTTGTTCATTTTAATGAATTGGACTAGAACGGGTTGGATAAGGTTAGGATCGGGAGAATAGCAGTTTGCAGAAACCTTCGTCAGTCCAGTTTTTCAATTCAAATAATATAACTTGAAATTAAATCAGCGTGCAGTTCGAAGGCAAGGTTGTAGTCATACTTAGGGGGAAAATTCATGTTACCCCAAGCACTACCCTCCTTATCATTGGGACGTGCTTGTGTCCGATCCATACACCTAAACAGCAGCAGTAACTTCGACTTGTTTAATACGTGATATTTGTTTTCTTTTTGTTTTCTGATGAACTTCATGAGAATTTCATTGAACTTTCTAATCTAGATCATTTTCACTATACTTCGCCATGAGGGTTTCTCATGCTTTTATCAAAGTGAATCCAATTGTCGTCAGCGTTTCGCGACTCTGAAACTAGCCAGTTTTTATCATAAAAAACTTGAAGGCCTAAAACACCCTGCCCACTTTATGAGGAATGAAGTTGGCATTCGTATAGGAAGTTCATTATAGTACTGAAGCTCAAATTTCCTTTTGTGCAGCTAGGAAAGTCATCTCATATTCGTCATGCATGATTCCTTGAAGTGAGCTACCTTTTGAAGAAGGTTGGATGGGCAGCTCGTTTTTTGTTTCAACTGAAGATCTTCCAAATTTCTCTTAGTTACGCTCTCAGTTGAGAATTTAATCCGGCCTTGATCAAACTGTCTCTGCGATGCGCTCCTGCATTCGACTTCCATTCATATTCGTAGCGGATGCGTATGGAGCCTGTGCGATGACTTGAGGTGGTCTACCGGTGTACAAATCAGACTTATTATCTCCGAAAGTGGACTGATCAGAGCCGAAAGACTTAGTTCTTCATCCTTATTTTGGTTGATGTCGTTAAACGTCATGCTTGAATGTGTGAAGTAGTTTTAAATTAAGGCTTTTTTCTCCTACTTCTTATTGCTGCTGTGCTTTTGATGGCCTCTTTTCATTTGTTTACTTCCGTATATGGCGCCCAATCACCGACGATGACCTTGAAGAAAGTATGGTCTTCTCTGTGAAGCTCTCCAGATCCATATCAAACGCTTCCAACTCCTCTTCTTCGTAGCTCGATGTTGGTGCGTGGGCAACGAAGATTTTTAGAGCTGGGGTTGAGCCACATCTTCTTAATCGAAAACGCCTGATTCGGGTTTTTAGGCTTTCCCAATAGAAAGGAGTATGTGTGTGGTGTGGAAAGGAGATGTATGATGCGTGGTGTTTTGTGCTTGGTGACCGGCGTGTAGTATGCATACTTCGTACATGCTGCGTTTACTTGAGATTTAATATCTCTCTACACTACCGTTAGCAGCCAGGTCACTTCCAAGGTATCTCAAGCCTTGCACTCCTTCAACGACTTCCCCTTCAGTCCATGATTGGCTCAGTGCACTCATATGGGCAAAAGAACTTGGTCTTCTTCACCTTTATCCCTAACAGCACGCTCCGCCGCCTCAAAACTTCGTCCTGAATTCTTCCTACTCTGTGCTTTAGAGCGGTGTCGGCGTAGAACGTGGTCTTCGATGGTTTCCCTATGATTCTTTCTGTGTTGCCATTCAGTGCTAGTGGGAGGGGGAAGGGTAACGGTCTCGGAACTAATTCTTCTCGGATCCATCGCACTTGTCCATGATCTTTCGTTTCTGAAACGCTCTAAGCAACGGCGCGGTTAGCGGTCGAACGCATTCTTCACAGTGAGGACGGCTAGGTAACGGGCCAAGTTTTTCTCCGTCGTCTGTGTACTGTTGCTCTTTACTGTTTTTTGTTTCGGGGAAAATCACTTCCTCCAGGAATCTGTCCAAATATCCTTCTCTCCTGCGGTGAACCCCAGCTGGCACCTTCACTGTTGCTTACAGCCTTTGCGAGCCTACCGCGATTTCTGCAGACAGCCGGAGCTCTTGAGCGCACGTCTCTTGCCTTTTTCTACTTTCGAACCTTGCGGACTTCATCATTCCAAAACCATGATGACTTGTATCCTCTGAATCGGCCTCAAGCATTGCCCAGCGAATCTCTTGCACGCCGTAGGGTGACCTTTGCTTTAGGGTGTAGGATACTAGTTTTAGGATACTTCGTTTATGATCTTCCTTCTCAGCCTAGTGCAGCATCCATCACCGAATTGTCTGCTCCACTCTGACACTTGCTCTCTTTGGTAGGCCTATGGCTATTTTTGCTAAAAGATGCTCATGTTGCGGAGCAGGAGATTTATTGCTTGGCAATGCCCTTGATATCCTTTACACTTTTGAGGAGCGATCTTCCTTGAGCTCATATCTGATTTCCTTTTGTCTTTTCCGCTGCAGTGGGTTACTTTATGTGTTCCTATTTTCGTGAAAAAGATACGGCAGGCTGCTAAATCATAGGCTGACGCCAGGTCAAGTCGCCTCTTTCCTTCTTCTTTTCAGACTCCCGTGTTTCCAAACCCTTTCAAGCTTCTACGTTCTCCTCCCACGTGGCCACTCAGACCACCCGCCATGACGGGACCAACTACTGTCGTGAGCGAAGTTCTGCTGGAGTCCTCTGTTTTTACGTAACTTGGTTCCATTCCATAATTCCATATTTATTTCAAATTGACTTACTTTTACTCAATTGCGATCATTCAACTTACGTTACTTTCCCCCTTTTCTCCCCCTTCTCTTCCCTTTCCGCTCCGGAGTAGTCACTTCCCAGTGTCTCGATTCCGCCGTCTGTACTCGATCTATATTCGAACCCTNCCCTTCAGACCCAAATTAAAAACCTTTGCGGGCGTTTCTCCCAGTCCGGTACTGCAACCTACCTTTAGCGTTCCGTTCAACTGTCTGATCTCCTTCTAAACTTGAATACTCTGAGTCAATGAAATCGGGAGTTATAAACACTTGCTAGAACACTAACTTCGCACACCCCCCTCCCCTATGAGCAGAGTTTCTTGCCACCTCCTTTCACTGTTCCTATCCTGCCACCTGTACTTCTACCGGATTTGGACTCTCTGGGTTCGAATTCGGTAGAAGTACAGGTGGCAGGATAGTAACAGTGGTCGAACTCGCAGAAGCAGGTGCCGGCGATTTGCGGTCGAAAAGACACATAGGCACACAGACATTATTGAAACAGGCGAAGTTGTCGTATCTATTTTAGATCGAAGCCTAATATGACAGTTAAACGAATCGGCGATCCAAGTTCTTTGATTCTTTCGACGAGCCAGTCGCTATTGGAAAAGCGCCACTCATATTCGTATCGCACGGAATGAAAGCCCAGTGCAGGGTGTTAACTGGACATTCATAGCAATTTTTATTCTCCTTAGCTCAGGTTTCACTTGGCAGCAAAAAGTGGTGCTACCATTAGGGTGATACTTATGCTCACAAGGACAAGATTGTCCACTCGTGGTGCAATCACAATTTGACAGATTTCGTCGCTTTCAACGAATGTCTTCGAATTTTTCCCGATTTTGTTTCGATTCTTGATTCTTTGTATGGAGCATGGTTGAGCCCGTGGCTCAAAGTCGGCGCAGAAGCTAAACAAGAACTCGATTCTATAGGGCAGTCTTGCAGGAAGCTTGTACTAGACGGATCCCGACCGCCTCCTTGCCACAGTCGACCCCTTTTCTCAACACTTTTGAGCCTATGTCGAAGTAGACGAAAATATTCATGAATGCTATACTCTTTCCTTCCTTCGAATGTTTCACGTAGGTGTTGGAACAAGCCTTCACATCAGGTTGATTTAGCTTAATACCGACGCTCGAAAATTGGAATACTTGTTTGGAGTCGTAATTCTTCTGACTTATGTACACTTCATTAGAGCTGTGCCAGTATGATATGTCTTGTGTTAAGAAAGTTGTTCATGATTCGAAGTCCTCATGGGGCATCTTTTCTTTGGAAAGGAGGTTTTCAGATTTTGTCCAAACTGAGAAGTGTCAGCTATAAGGATATCCTTTCAGGCCACACCCCTGAATTAGCAAGACCTGTTGATTCGATGTAGAAGTCATGTCGACAAAGGTATTTATACTTCTCTTCTCTAGAGTGTTAATAACTCTCTGTTTGATTTATTTGAAATTAAGAAACCAGAACAAGTTAAGGCAGTTGAAGATCGACCATGTCCGGAGTCGTTGTCATTGAATGCAGAGGTGCATCGTGACATTGTTTGCACGGAAAGGCTTCTGAAGTTTGGTGAAAGATTCTATCATACGACTGATCCTGAACTACGTCGTAGGTGAGTCGATGTTTCTGATCTGGCCTGTGGCGACTTGGTATAGCTTTGCTTACGGCAATGTTTTCTTCTCCACGGTGGGTGAAGGTTCAGTCGGTACCTCAAGGGAAGGCTTCAAGGGTCTATGAGACGGCTGTTCGTGACTCGGTGCGGTGGTGCCGAGTATAAGTCGTTGTCAAGCTGGCTTATTCTTACTGACTATATATGAATGCAAATAAAAAGGACAGATTTGAGGCTGGTTTGTCAAACAGGATCCTAGTACGTTTTTGATCGATTCCGATTGAATGTGTTGATTTTTGTGTAGTATACTGAAAATACATACCTGAGGGACGGAATACATACCGCATTCAACTACCAATCAGAATCGTAGTGGCGTATTGAATGCCTGTGTGGCCTATTCAGTGACCTGCGGTAGCCAGCCGGTGTACAAAGTCAGCGGTTTTGGGATAGTGACCACTTGCCACTACACCACCACTGCCCTACGTACAAAATATATACACCAAATCGTTTTGTCATCTCAAATAAAATTTTTATATAGTGATAGAGCACGGTGCCCGGAAAGCACAAGTGCGAGCTCCAGTCCCGTCCGAGACTGAAGTTTTGTCCATAAATCGCCAACCTTGTGAGATTTTCTATATGGTTCGGCCCATCTCCTCCCTTCTGTATCACCTGTCTGCGAAAGTTGAGGAAGGTGTTAACATATGCTCTGAGGATTTGATTCTTCAAAAATTGATTATTATTTGCTAAAACGTTTTCTAGCCTATTGTCGGAGAGAATTTTGTGAATATTTCTGGAAGTACTACCTTAATGTTTCAGTGTGACTCTAGCACACATAGCTTCTTCCGACTTTTTTAATATGAGAAGGGTTTTGTTCTCCTTTCAATGCTCTTCAAGTCACTTTGCAGACTCGTGCACGACATATTAGAGACGATTTACGAGACGATCGATTTAAAGTATGATAGGATGATCCGTGCCGATGCACTGCTTACTTCATCCACTTTTGATGATCATAGACAGCAGCTGATGTTCATTTTCACTTGTCTTGATCACTGCCACCAGTTGGAGGAGCTTTCTGATGGTAAGTCTCCCAAACATGTTATTATAGCGCTTAATTTAGGCCATCTGAGGCTTGTTAGAAGAATGTTGGGAAGGATCGCTCAGGCCATTTTGCGATCCTTATTTCCTGATCTTTCCTTGTAACAGTTAATAAGTCTATGAAGAAAACGCACCGGTTTCGGGATTCCGGATTAAGCGCTCGATAATGAGTACACCCAAACTACGGAGTCATTGATCTCGTTCATTTTCGAAGTTTAAAATAAGATTACCGTGCCCATTCAATGAACGCTTTATTAAAGATTTCATCAAATGGATCATGTGTCGATTCATTCGATCGCGGACGAGTATCGTTGTCAATGCGAAACTTGGTGGCTTTCTTCAAGAGAAAATTCTCCACCTGGGTGGTCTGATTACTGACAAAGACGGTTTCCTTCTGCATATAGTTAAGCAGCTGGCAGGTGTGTTTGCAGGTTCTCAAGTCTTCTTAGCCGAAGAATTTACTGATTTTCATATTTTTATTCAAGAAACTTCTAAGACTCGAAGGTACGTCAGAAATCCATTCGAGAGAAGGACTATGTGAGCACCACGAGCAGTTTTTTGTCTGGTATTTCAGGGCAAGGAAATCATTTCAAAACACTGAAACTTTGAATAGGTCTTATGAAATCCAAGTCAAACCCGTCCAGCAGAGGTGTTTCGCAGGCGAGCACGCTCGCTTTTATAGTTAACATAATAGGTTTTCTTCTATTAGCAGAATAACAACCTTTGTAAAGATCACAATAATGTACCGCTTACACAGAAAAAAAATAAGTTCCCTGACATGGCTGCTTTCATAGTCCACGATTTGGCCCGCAACTGGTCGTAGCGACTGGTCGTGGGCCAAATTGTGGGCTATGGAAGGAGCCTATCTTTCACAGATTGTTTTATTTTAAGTCTTCAAATTTAACCAAGAAAANAAAACAATTTGTTTATCGTCAATTTTGAACAGTTGGTAAAGAAGAGATATTTGCTGTACTGCTACTAGATAACCCGTCGCAGCCCATCGATTTGTCATATTGGCCTTCTGAAGATATGTCGCGATTCCATACACTTCTTCAGTATAGTGTCATACAAACGTTTTAAAAATTTTTCCTTCTCCCCAAGCAAAATTCCTGGTACTTGGCGCTCGCCAAATCGTGGACTATGAAAGCAGTCAGTTAGTGGCAGTAGTGTAGTTTCGTTCGCTATTCTTTCAATGTACTTTTTTGAAGTTCTGGTTGACGGAGGAAATTGTATCACCCTTGGAGAGAATGCAGGAAAGTACGATTCCCAAGTGGTTCTCAGCGAGGTTTCTGATTGCCGTAATATAGTATATCTCTCTCTTTTGTGGGTATTTATCTGATGGTCATGTTTCTTACGATCAAATATTCCTGCTTTTGTTCGATTTCCTTCAAAAATTCAGGGATATAATAAGCCACGTGAAGTTCCGCTTTGAGTCGTTGTCCTGTAAGACATTGCAGTTGTTGTGGGTGTCTCTTGTGAGCATTTGTGCCGTTGGACCACCTCGTCTCAAAGCGGTGAGCGTTTCATTTGGAATCAGCTGAAATTCATAATTTACGATAAAAATGGCTGCCGAGATCTCTTTCCAGGATGAAACTGTGGCTCCTAATGACACGTGGGACATTTTCAGATCGTAAAACGAACTCGACAGGACCTTGTAAGGGGCTAACGTACTCACATAGAAGTAGCCGTGCCTTGGTTGATGGTCACGGTGCTTGGGGACCTTCTTCAGTCTAACTGACCTCAGCCTGTTTCCGAATTGGGTACTAGTTTTTCATGAACTCAGTTTTGCAGTTGAACTTTTTGCAGTCCATTTCCCATTCGTCATGTACAAGGTCCTGTGGAAGGTTTCTAAGTATTCTTTCGGGAATACTCTGCCAGAGTCGGGGTAGATAAGATCTGCACTGTAATGAAGAACGATGTTGATTGCTATTCGATGGTGTCCGGAAGTAGTACAAGCGCTTTGCTTCTGAAGAGATTTTATTCGACGGTTTCACTGTGTTTCTGATAGGACTGCGAAGGAATGATCTACTGGGAGCACTGGTGCCATGGTGACAGCCACAGCCTACGAAGCTAGTCCGTTACGAAAAGTGGCCGATGTAATACGAGAACTACGCCTTGGGAGGCTAAATTTTTTTCTATTCCACGGCAATTACTAATTTGTTAAATCTGTGGAGGTAAACACGTAGACGGGAGCTAGACCACTTCACGTGCTTATTGCGGAGCACTCGAGTAGGTAGGCAGGCGCTGTGTATTAAATAGTTCTCTGCCCCGTAATTCATTGAAAAGTCGAACATGAAATCACAGCATCGCTACCGTTTTTGGCGGTAGAAGTCGAATTCAACAACCCAAAACATTTCATCCTCTGAAAATTGTCTTGAACCAAACTATCGGATCTCTAAAAATCGCTTACAGGCATGTGTGCTACTCTTTCAAAGATTGTTATCGCTGGATTTGGGAAATGAAATTGTTTCGCGGCTAGTGTTTGATGTAATTATGTCAACAGAAGAATTCATACATGCGCAAAATAAGTCGACGGCTGGCCTTGAAATATTGCTTCAAGCTCACGAAAGCTGTCTTAAGGTTGGTTCAGTGGCTCTTACAGTCGAAGAAATTTCTGGCGTTTGATTCTGCCTTTTTTCAGGAAGTGCTCCTATTCCAGGGGTTTTTATTAATTTATTTCTCTGCGATGCTAACTTAAAGTCCCACATCCTATTTCTGAGTTGTAATCTTGAAAACAAAGGGATTTTTCAACGTAAGAATTCAGACCTGTCTGGTAGTAACAGTGTTTGTAGGTACTTATGGAGTTGCTTGAAGATGTTGAACATAAGAGATCGTTCGAAGGAATAGCCGTCTCGGTTATTTTGTCTTGGGGTACTCGTGCTGCTGAACTGGGATTTCTTCATCCTATCACGCGTGAGGGAACTATTTATGCTCATTCATTGAGGATTCCTTCCAACGAAGTTGACTTTCCAGCTGCTCGGTTTGAAATCGTCACCACAGCCGTCTCTCGCCTTCTATGCCGTTTGAAAGGAGATTTCAACGAAGAGCACATGAAACTGATAAATTCATTAGCTGATCTCATTCAGGTACGAGAATGGTTTTGTCGGCGATATTTTTACCGGTACTTATCCCTAAGGTTGTTAATAATCTACAGCGTTCGTTAAAAAATGGTATTGAGAATGATTGCTGATAGAGAGGAACATACAAACTTCAGAGAAATTATTCTTCTAATATAACGATGCAAAACAAAATTACGGCTGAAATTACCATTTTTGCGTGGTTCGTGGATTGGATGCGCGGTGATCCCAGGATTTCCGACTTTTCTCAAGCTGTTTATGAACTTATGTGGTTTTGCCTACAGTTTCGCCTCATGATTGATTTTACAAAAGTTTATGAGACCAAATCCAGAAGTGCATGCTTTAAGGTGGAGGTCGGGATTTTTCTACGCGGAACTATTGAAAAATAGTTCAAGTTCAATAGTACCGCAGAAAGTTCATCCGGTGGGAACCTTCGATGGTCATTCGGTGGTGGTAGCGTACCTACGTATCAAACTTCAAAATCAGTTGTTAAAGATCTTATTGGTTATTTCATCTTTTATTTCTTGATCCATCCTGAATTCCATGACATCAACTTTGGCTTCGGGTCTTTTTGAACAAGTCACCTTGCTATGTATCAGCCTTTTTTCATTTTGTAGAAGCTGGTTGAACGTTTACTCACCGCCGAGCCAGTCGGTAATGGCAATATTGTTGAGAAATTACATTCATACTACTCATTTTTGCTCAATGTCGACTTGATTTCATCGCAGAGGTGAACTTGGCCTTTTCTTTTCCTTTTGTTCTACTTCCTTGCAGGTCTTTTTTACTAAATCCCTTATTGTGAAGCTTTCAGTGCTCGAGGTGATTGGATAGCATCATATTGTGAATCACGTTGGCAAGCGCTTCTACGCTCTGGAAAGCACGGTGAAGCAATGAAAATAAGACGAATAACAACTGCAGCTCTATCCTTGTGTAGTGGCAGAAATGCTTCATCGGTGCTTGTGAATATCCTACCGACAGAGCAGCAACTAATTCAAGTATGTTTATTGTGAGAATTGAAAGTTGTCATTCCTTGTCATTACATGAGTGGCTTTCACGGATCGAACCTCCTCCAATTCATTCATTCCTCCACAGCTGTGGTGGCTTGTCCCAGGTTATAGTTGATATGAACTGAATACTGACAGGAATGTCGGTTGGGCGGAGTTTGTGTAGTGGCAAGTGGCTGACTATCTCGCACACATGAACTCAGGTTCGAGTCCTGAATCGGTGTTCGCTTAGGTCAATCAAGCCTTCCAACCCTTCGAGTTCGCTAATTATTGACAGACTTGTAAGATAGTAGCACTGATTCGTACCCGGCTGACCACCGTAAGTCAATGTATAGGCCATGCACGCATTCAATACGCCACTATGTACGATTCTGTACGGAAGTCGAACGTGTGGCCTTCTGGCGTTATTGATTAACGCCCCATGACCATATAGACATATCGGTTGGTCTCACATATCCTTAAACTGTCCTATCTCCCTTCAAAATTCCTTAGTGGATGTGAGTAGGAGTAGAGTTTTGATCAGGAAGACTGCGGCATTATAATGCGGTTCCCTTAAATTCTCTGTAGTTTCCTGCAGGTATGACTTTATTGTTACTGCTATACTCTAAGCTCTTGGCGACATTTTTTCAAACTGAATAGAAAAAAAGTAAAAGATAAGAGGATAGTATCAGTGGCGTTAATCCTTTCCGTCTGAAGGCCTAGGTGGATACCAATCCGGGAGTTGAACCCGGTACCACGTGAATGGGCACCTACTGCTACTGCACCATCTCCGCCCTAGGAAAAAATAATATCGAATTTTAAAAGTTCTCAATGAGGTTGAATAGTGTTCTCCACTGCAATTTTTTGAACAACAAAATTGTTGGAATACTTTCGACACATCTAGACGAGAGACTGAAAGTGTTATCCTTCACTCATTAGATTATCATGCTTACTTGTAACGTACAGAAGTCAGTTAAACCCTATTTATACTAATTTTCATTTGTAACCGCTCATTGCTGTTAAGATTTTTCCAGGTTCTTGAAGCTGCTTCATCATTAGGCTCTGCGGCTTCTGGAGTATTTCTTACTGTTTTTGAAATCGTCGGCGATTTGGTTTCTCGTCACACTAATTTTCCTCCGTCTGCCACCGTCGCCTTTCTCTCTCTACCGTGGCTCTTGGTAAATGGTACCTGTACATTTCATTTTCTTTACCTTATGGCATCCGGTTTTCTAGGATCCTGACCTGCAGCTGCAGTCAAAGCGCCACATGAACTCGTTGCCTCTATTGAGAGAAATGATTCGCCTGGTCAAAGCACACGCTATAAGTTCAAGTATGTTTCTTGCTGCTATTCCTGATTTTATAGATGTTGAGCCTTGAATTATAAATTTTCAGGTGACGATATTTTGGAGTACACTTTGTCTGCTCTGTCAGCTGTACACGGGTTTTGTGATTGGCGTCGTACTATCTTGCTTTCGGCGATGTCCTCTCATCGGCCACATCTGGTTCAAGTAATCTAAAGCTCTGTTTGCTATCAAATCAACCTACTTCCTGACTCCCTCCTTGTTCTCTTAGTTGATTTAAGAAGAGAAGCTGTAGCAAGAACACTTCTTTTTAAAGCGCCCTCATCCATGTCCGTAACGGGTGGTCTGTCCTTCATTCAACAGGGGAATCATGGAGGAAATCAGAAGAAGCCCTCATGCGTCTCACTGCTTTCGAGTGAAAATCGGTTGAATTTAGAAAAAGGATTCATCGTGAATGAAGATGCCAAATGTTTCAGGCTGCTCTATCCCATTTGGCGATGTTTGTATCATCACTCGACGCCGCTTCATTGCATCGTTTACTCACCCCAGCAATTGAATTGGCTTCAAATCCAACTTTTACGGTAGCTACTAGATATTCTTCAACTTGTTGGCAATTCAGATACGGAAGATGCTTCGGAGATGACCAATTCAGCAGACGAGACAAATTTTGGTGGACTTTTGAAAACGATTTTCTCAACGATTTTCTCAAAAGCTCTTGGCCTTAACAGCATATGCTTTTATATTACGACCCATTATCGCTTTTTTTCCGGGTGATTGTCGACCAAACAAGCATGTTTATTAGTTTTACTTAGATCGAGGCCTATTTCGACTCGCAGTGTTAACATATCTGGCTAAGGTTTGAATTTGGGCAACCCTTTATGAGTGTGAATAGCTCATCAGTAGAATGCCAATATTCGGGTTGATCGAATGAATGGGTTGTTTGTTAGTCAAGTAAATTTCCATTGTACCGAGCCCAAACTTTAGCCGTGCGAATTTTTTTCGTTCAATGAGAATTTTTGTGAGATGTATTCATAGATCCTCTTTTTCCAGCAATCAAAAGTGGATGTAGCGTGTATACTGAACGCTCTGTCTCACTCGTTATGTGCAAGTCACCCAGAAAGCAAAGTTCACGGACCGACCGGAGTGTCCTGCAAGGCATGCGAAAGAGTGTTGACTGGAACACCGATTCCTGAACAAGAAAAAGTCCACCAACTACCAGGACTGTTCGAACTTCTCATCAAAGTGCTCACGGATCCTCAATACAAGAAGGAGAAGCACATACGACTAGGTTTCTACTTTTTCTCAAATAAGGATCAGGTGTACAGCAATTGCTGCGCGCACCCTGCTTCAACGAAGTACGGTAGCGTATTGGCTCATTCTCTGTCCTTCATGTGGTTAAACTTTTCCCTGGAGGGTTACAGCCTATCCGTTACCATCACAAACTTAGCTGCGTGATTATAAGCGTAAGGGTTTGTTGTGGGAGAGACGATTTAATTTTAGGCACTTATACTTCCCTAACTCACAAGCTGTCACTATCTGTCAATTTTGTGTTCGAAAATCCTACTAGGGGCATTCCTGAATGAATAAAACTGCATGGCGTACACGAAAAACCGTGGTCAGTGGTAGCTTGCTTGTCTGTATAGACGGCCAGCAAAATAAAAGAATTTTTTAAAAATTTTGTACCAAACTCCTAATGTTGCTACCTCGGGGGTCATTGTTCATAACTTAGGAGAGATGTTTTTCCAAAGATATCAGTACTTAAAGGGAGCTTCAAAGGAGTTCGTTCACAATTTCAGATGCGGCTGGGCTAGTACTGACAGCAATTTGTCACATGCAATGTCCTCCAGAAGTGTACCTAAAGTTGGTTAAAGCCAGTTTGAATTTCATCAACGACGAAGACGAGGATGTCAGAAACGTTTTTCAGTAAGTCTTCATTGTTTATATAAGACTTCCATTGCCTTGAAAATTTTGTGCAAACTGAATCTTTCAGATCTGCTTTCAAGGTCATTGTATCAGACCCTCTGCCTCCTGAATTGATCGAGGCGATATTCACTGATCAGTTTTGTGTCGAGTACCCTACGGAATGTGAGCAGACTATGATGGAAGCGTCGAACCCGTTTCTTGTCCTTGCAGCTAGGTTCGCTCGAATTTCTTGTTAAAACGCCGGCATGGCTCACTTTCATTCTTAGCAATCATGGTTCAAGTGGCCAGCGAGTTAATGGCTCCCTGTGGTCTTACGACAGGGAGCCAATAAGCACGACAGAAATATCTCTGCTACTAGTAGCAGCACTTTACTTTTGCAATTGAGGCCGGAAATCGAGAAAAAGATATTGATTGATGTGCTGGTATGCACTTGAGGGTAATTACCTTTGGATTGTCCAGCTCTACTAGGAATCAATTATAATCAAGTCGCTTGTTTTTGTTGAGTAGGGGCCGAAACGAAGCCAGTTAAGCCATCGTAGTTGTGACCAAGTTGCAATAGATAATCGCTTGAATTGACTAAATCCCGTATTTCTCCAAAAACTTTGATTTCTGAACTGGGTGTAGAAGCAGCAGCGCACAACAGAAGGCTCAGCTATTTTTAATTCCCAAATGTCTACTCACGTTTGACTTCCACAGCCTGAATTCAAGAAGGACAGAATTGATGCGCTTCACGTTGCATATACGAAGTTTGCCTTTTATATTTTGGGATTTAAGAACAGAAACAAATACTATTTACTGAAAATCGCTTTATTG